CCTCCTGGGAGACGCCGGGGGCCCGGCCCGGCCCGCACTCAGAGCTCCGCTTCTGCCGCTGCCGGGGCAGTCGGAGGTGGCGGCGGCGCCATGGGCGGCCTGGCCTCTGGGGGGGATGTGGAGCCGGGACTGCCCGTCGAGGTGCGGGGCTCCAACGGGGCCTTCTACAAGGTGAGACGGCGCGTCGACCCGGGACACCTTCCCTAGCCCCCTCCCCCGGCCGAGTCCGGCACGAGTGGAGCGGGATCGAGTTTCTGGAGCTCGGTCCTGACCCTTAGAACCTTCGACTCACACTCCCACTCGAAAGCCTTCCGGGGAGACCGTGGGAGTTAACCCTCGTGCTTTTCTCTTCGAACCCGCGGGTACACCTGCTTTTATCCTCAGCTGGAAGCGTGACCATCAGGTCATTACTGCGCGTGGCTGGGCGCTCCCGCTCCCTCCGGAGAAATCCCTTCACCCAGCTTCTAATTGACTTTTCTTGTTTCCTAGTGGAGGAGATACTTCAGCTCCTAATCGCATCCTCTACGGCCCAAGCACATGGGAGAGTCTCTTTCTTTTCCTGCGTGACCACTTTGGGAAGGGCCACTGTCCCATATTCGATCTTTGGTCTTCAGGGAGGCTTCTGCCTGCTGGCTCTAGACCATTTACTCAACTTTCAGCTTGCATTCTTGTCCCCAGTCTAAGAAGAAATGGTCAAAACGCATTTGTGTTATTTAGCATCTTTGGCCTCCGGTTTTATCAGCCATGAAAGTGGGTTTGTTGGGCAAGTCTGTCACCCTACCACATCTTTGTCCCTAAACCAGCCTACCTAGGTTTGGATTAGTGCTTACCTCTTTGACTCCAGATACAGTTAGACCATTCCTTTATCTTCTTAAGTTTAAGCTTCATTAAAAGGTGTCTCGTCAAGATTATGTTCTTACTCTGACAGATTTCTACTTGTTGACAGTCTTTCTGGAAAGAGAAGGTACCTTCCAGAGTGGCTCATTTCAGCTTTTCTTTGCCTAAGATTTGATTTCTTTGACCTCTTTTGGGGGTAGGGTTGGAAGAGGATCTTGATGTATAGCTCATACTATTTAGCCCAGGCTAAATGTGACCTCTTCTGTACTCCTACCTCAGCCTTCCGAGTTCTGGGACTACAGACATGCACCACCATCCCAGACCAGACTTTTGTTTTTCTTTGTATCCATACATCCATTCCACCTTCTGTATCTGTTCTGAGTCTATTCTGGATCGCCCCCCGCGAATATGGAGTGTAAAAAAAAATTCTTTTTGCCCCCCCCCCCCAAGTATTTTTCTTCATCTGATAGGTGAAATTCTGAACTTATTTTGACCCACCCCCAAGACAGGTATGCTCTGTAGACCAGGCTGGCCTCTACCTCCATCACCACCCGGCCTTCTTTTGACTTTTTTTGGGTGGAATTGTCCCAGAAACTTTTGATTCCTCCTTTAGTCTTTTCACTCTGTAGAGAAAGGAATTTTCATAGCATCGATAAGTTGGAGCCGCCTTTACTTCATATCTCAGGTCCTACTCCAGTAGACCTTTCTGCTTTCTCATGCCCTTGGAAATCTCTCTGACTGCTGTGAAACTGTATCTTTTTGTAGCTGAAAAGGCCTTGTGCTCACCCTGCCCCACTTCAGCTGATAAGTTTGATTTTAGTCTGTGAATACCATACCATTTCTGCCTGCCTTTTCTGATGAGGTTCTTTATCCAGTGCCTATGGGTGTACATATCTTTTAGTCTTAGCTTATCCTCTCAATTAAGTCTTGGACTTTCTGCCTTGCTATTTCTGTATTCCTGTGTCATCCTCACTGATGTTCACCTATTCTGTGTATAACTGAAGAAGGCTCCTAGCTGATTCTGACCCTTAGTACTTTTTCTTCTGACTGGAACAATATCTTTGTAACATTTCTGTTTTCTGTGGCAAAAGTCTGTTAATTCCTTTTGGGGGTTCTCATTGGACACATTTATGTGTTTGTTGTGGTGGGGTTTTTTTTGTTTTGTTTTGTTTTGTTTTGTTTTGTTTTTAAGACAGGATTTCTCTGTGTAGCCCTGGCTGTCCTGGAACTCTCTGTAGACTAAACTGACCTCAAATTCACAGATCCACCTACCTCTGCTTCCCAAGTGCTGGGATTAAAGGTGTGTGCCACCACTACCTGGCCACATTATGTTTTTTAATATCCTTGTTCTCAGACTTGTATTAGATTTATTAAAAGTCTTCCTTAGGCTGGGTATGGTGGTACATGCCTGTAATCCTAGTACTTGGAAGGCTGAAGTATGATGGTCCAAGTTTAAAATGAGTGTGGGTAATGAGATCAGGTCTCAAAACAACAACAAAAATACCCTTTTTCATAAGCTGTTCTTTTTTCCTGGAGACATCTTAGCCTTCATATGTATCCTCCTCACCTCCAAATTTTTACTTTCAAGAAAAGTGATTTTTTTTTCCTCCTTGTTTGTTTTTTGGGGATAGAATCTCTCCACCTGGCCCTGGTTGTCCTGGAACTCCTGTGTAGACCAGGCTGGCTTTGAACTCACTTGGACCGGTCTGGGATTAAAGGTGTCCACAACCACACCCATTTAGAAAGTGATTCAAGATAAGATACTTCTGTTCTAGGAACTTGGGAGTCAGGTAGAGCTTGGAAAGAAGAGTGCTCAGTTCAGATTAACTGAAGTGGTTGGGAAGGGATGTATTTTCTGTTACACAAGAGCATCCAGCAGAAAGTCCTTTTTACCTATGGAACATACATAGCAGTGATATATTTGAGTGAAGCAGGAACAGAATTAGCAGTTGAATAAGATCCTGTATTCTAGCCATTTCAGCACTTTCTGCTCCACTACTGAGTTAAAACACTTCCCTACAATTGTACTCACCTTTCTTAAACTCAATGTAATGTAGTTGCTTATCTGTTCCGACCTTGCTGATTGATATTCATGACTCAGCAGACTTCGGTGTGAGTGAAGGAGTTCTGTCTTGTCTTAGATCTCTAAATTTAGGGAGACCCCCTTCTCAAAACTTTTATTTTGATTTATCCACGGCAGATACCAGATGTCAGATCCAAATTATTTTATATCTATCCTATCAAGCTTTCCTTTTTTGTTTTAAAATGAGGTTCAAGTGGCTCAGGCTGGCTTTTAGCTGAGGATGACCTTGAATTCCTGGTCTTACTGCCTCCACTTCCCAAGTGCTAGGATTGAGACACACCACCAACTCCAGCTTCATAATGTTTTGTTTTGTTTTTGCTGTTGTTTTGTTTCTGTTTTTCAAGATGGGGTTTCCCTGTGTAGCTCTGGCTGTCCTGTCTTGGAACTTGCTCTGTAGACCAGGCTGGCCTTGAACTCAGAGAACCACCTCTGCCTCTCCAGTCTGGCTTTAAAGACATGTGCAACCACCAACCAGCCAGCATTCTTTTCTAATGGGACATTATCAACTTTAAAACATGTTTTTTTTTTTTTTTTTTTTTTTTTTTGCCTTGACTCTTTTTCTCCTAGAATTCCTTTTCTTCTGCGGGGTGAAGATGGAGACTAATTTCATATCTTATTTAAGGAAACTGAAGTATCTAGGAACTTAAGAACTTTCTTCATTCACCTGACAGTTCTAAGCCCAGAAAGCTAATCCAGGAAATGCTACAGCCCTTGACTCAGATCATCTGGATCTAGGTTTACAACAGAATTCATATGCTCTCTTATTTCCCCAGTGGCATAGACCAAACAAAACTTTGGAGTTCCTTTTCCATCACAGTTGTTCTCCAAAGAAAACCTTGTATCTGAAGTAAATGAGTAGAATTAAGAGGCAGAGGTAGAACTGGAGTATGATGTTGGAAAGAGAGTTGAAGGGTTAATGGAAAGTAGTTGAAGGGGAAAAGATGGTGGAGGTGTATGGTAAGTGGCATTGGGTTACACTGCAAAAGAAGGATGATTCTAGTCTAAACTTAGCATTTCTGCCTTGTAAGTCACTATTTGTTGAAAAAAGGTAATATTGCTTTATGGGCTAATTCAACCTAGAAAATTAAAGCTTTAGACATAGCCTTTATAAATGAGCATATCTGGGAGTGAGAACCTTTTTTTCAGAGGCAGTCAAGTGATTATGACTTTTCTCTTTCCTTTTCTCCTTAAAATGTTTTTGATAAATGATACGTATCTTGATAATCTACTAAGACTTTGAGCCTCTCCCACTCTTCAGCAGTTGTCTGTCTGTCTGTCTATGGTAAGAGACTCTATATAGCCATGGTTGGCGGTTGACCTGGAACTCAGATCTGCCTGCCTCTGTCTCCTTAGTGCTGGGATTAGAAGTGTCTGCCACCAAGCCTGGCTTCTCTGTCTCACTTTTCCTTAATAAATCTACATTCACCCTAGGGGGAAAAATTCTTGGAGTTTGATAAAGTGTTAGGCTTGGTGATCTATCCCTGCAGTCCTACTACTTGGGAGGTAGAGACTGGAGGTCAGGAATTGATGGTCATCCTCACATACATAGTAAATTCTGCATGAGATTCTGTCTCAGACAAGCTAAAGAACCCAAAAGGAAACAGGATGCAGGCTAGTCCTGACAAGTGGAAGCGGTTTGGCAGAGTTACTTTGTAGAGACTAGCAGGAATAGGCATTGGTTCTGAATGAAAAGAAGATAAACATCTCTGAAGACTTGTATTTAAAGAGTGTTAAGGAACAGTATGCTAAGGACTGACTGTCCACACTTGGGTAGTAGTAGTAAGACTCTAAGGAAGACTGTCTCAAAAAACAAAAGGGAAGAAAAGATGAAAAGTAACCTGGGGATAGAGAGATGGCTTATGGGTTTATAGCATTTGCTGGGTTTCAGAGGACTGGGGTACAATTCCAAGCACCCATACAGTTCATAATTCTAGTTCCAGGGTATCTGACTCCCTCTTCTGCTCTCTCATGGAACCAGGGACACATTTGGTGCACATATATGCCTTCAAGCCTAACACTCACACATAAGTAAATCTTACTTTGTTTTGTTGTTTTTTGAGACGGGTTTTTCTGTGTGGCCTTGGCTGTCCCAGTTCTTGGCTCTGTAGACCAGGGTGGCCTAGAACTCAGAGATCATCTTGCTTCTGCCTCTCGAGGGCTGAAATTGAAGGCTTGTGCCACTACTGCCTGTCATGAGTAAGTAAATCTTTAAAGAAAAAAAAAGTAGTAGGACTGGGAAGATGGCTCAGAACCTGAGTTTGGATCCCAGGAACCAACATAAGTAGCTTGTTGTAGCAACAAAACTCTGTGATCTTAGCACTAACAGACAGAGACAGGAGGAGCCCAGGGGGCTTGTTGGTCAGTCCAAGTTCAGTGACAGAGGTGCAGGGACATAGAGCTGTTTCTGGCTTTCACATACATAAACATACCACACAAACCTGGACATGTTAGTATATGCTTATAATCCCAGCACGTGAGAGATAGAGGCAGGTACATTTATCTTGAGTTCAAGGCCACTTAACAGCCTGGTGTACATAATAGGTTCCAGTTTATCTAGGGCTGGATAGTGAGACTTCCCACAAAACAGCCAAAGTAGGTTGTATCTGGTGAAAAATCCAAATTTAGATTTTTTCCATTATAAAGAAAGAGCAGTACATAAGTAGTGGTTGATTGGTTCTGTGTGGAGGGAGCTGTATATTCCCTGAGCATTATTGGTATATTTTCTCCTAAGCTCCGCCACTATCCTAGTTACTATGCTAAGAGTTGGTCCTTGAATATTGTTAGCCTTTTGAAGCACCTGCCTTTCTTACTGATTTTGATGTTGACAATTGAATTCAGGGCCTTGCATATGCTAAGCACATACCATCGCTAAACTATGTGCTCCAGCAAATGCTCCCTAATTATATTATTTTATTATTTTGTTTAGCTATAGGTGACTTTTTTGTTGTTGTTGTTGTTTTCTTTCCTGTGTGTAGCCCTGGCTGTCCTGGAACTCACTCTGTAGACCAGGTTGGCCTGAAACTCAAAGATCCTCCTGCCTCTGTCTCTTGAGGGCTGGGATTAAAGGTATGTGCCACCACTCAGTAGCAACTAATTTTTTTTAATTTTATTTTTATATCATTTGTTTAAGAAAGTGTTTTATTATGTATCTCTTGGTGGTCTGGAACTCTTTATGTAGACCAGACTGACCTGAAACTTGAAAAGATCCACCTGCTTCTACTTTTCAAATCCCAGAACTAAAGAAGCTGGGCACCACTGCGCTCAGCCTGTGTATGGGTACTTTATTAGCTTATGAATATATGTACTACTTGTATGCCTGGTGCCCACAGGTGCCTCTGCCAAGAAAGGCCCTAAAATCTGCTGTTTCTGCTTTCACTTGAGTGTTGGATTATATGTGTACTCCTCCATGCCTGGCTTATGATACATTAAATTTATTTTTTCTTTTTTAGGACTGGAGAGACAGCTCAACAGTTAAAAGCACTTGCTTCTTCCAGAGGACCAGAGTTCAATTCCAGCACCTACCTCAGGGCTATCACAGCTATATAACTGCAGCTCCAGAGTACCCAACACTTCTGACCTCCTTGAGTGCCTGCACTCGATATTCACATACCCACAAGCAGACCCACACACCTACATACATGAGAAATAATAAAAGATAAATACTTTAAAAATTATCTTTTAAAATATCGATGTTTATGAATGTTTGTCTTCGTGTATACCATCATGTGTACCTACTGCCTACACAGACCAGAACAAGGTCAGGTCCTCTGGGATTGGGAGTCAGAGGTGGCTGTGAGCCAGTCACCCATGTTGGTGCTAGGATGTGAGCCTGGGTCTTCTGCAAGAGTAACAAGTGGTCTTAACTGCTGAGCCAGTTCTCCAGCCTCCATTTAAAATTTTTGAGGTAAATTGTATGATAATGAGGTTATCAAAGTCCATCTTTTGTCTGTGGCTGTCCAGTTTTTCTAGCACCATTTTTTGAAAAGCACTGTGCTTTCTCCAAACTCTTTTTTCACTTTTATCAAAAATCAGGAAGTAGAAAGTAATATATAACTGAAAGCACTCTTGGGGTTGGGGTGTAGTGCAGCTGATAGTGCACGCACAAAGGACTCCCAGCACCAAATAAATTGGGTATGGTGGTGCATAGCTGTAATCACAGCACTTGGGAGGTGGAGACAGGAAGATCAGAAGTTAAAGGCTCTGCTACATATGAGTTTGAGGCCAGTCTGGGCTGCTGACTCTAAAATAAAATCTGTTACATACCAAAATACAAACTAAAAAGTGTGGGCCTGGGAGATGGCTCAATGGGTAATACCCGAGTTTGATCCCAGGACCCACATGGTAGAAGAGGACAAACTTCAATAGTTTGTCCTTTGACCTCCCCACAGATGTTGTAGCAAAAGCATCCATATGTTCACACACACACTTATACACATATACAATGTATAATTTAAAACACAAAATTCCTAGAATACATAAAAGAAAACATTAGTGGATTTAGATTCCAGAAGTTTCTTAGATGTGAAACCAGAAGCACAATTCATAAAAAATAATGAATTGTACTAGAAATCTTTGTGTGAAAAATAGGGAAGATAAAGAACTGAGACTGTAGATTGAAGAAGCCACTATTTCATGACTCCTTAGGCCATGATCTCAAGCTTGGAGTCTTGTACATACTTTATTTTTAGGTTCAGTAGTTATTTTTGCCTTCAGAACTATAATATCTATTAAACTCTTAGTTTTTTCTTCTGTAAATTGTGCTTATTTTGAACTCCAGTGTTTCAGTTATTCTCCCAAGGACTTGGGCATCTGGGTGCTAAATTCTCCAACCCTGGTGTCCTCTAGGTGTTCTAGTCCAGCTGTACACAGTCTTGTGGGATATTTGTAGCTTTGCTGAAAGTTGATGGTATTTTAATTGAACTCTAGCAGACTGCTTAGCACACCAGGAGGCAGATAGCAAGGTAACTGGTATCTTAGTAGGTCACCTGTTGGGCTGCTCTTGTGCAGGTTCTACTTTATTATTTCTAGATTTTGTCAGTATGGTTTCTTTTCTCTCACTGTTTATATTTTCTGACACATCTTCCTGGTTGTGTTTAGATTGTAAACACCCACGTGCTAAACTTCTTAATTTTAAAGACTGCTGATTTCTCTTCCTGATGGCTAAGATGATCGTTAAATGTATTTTCTTTTTTTTAATTTATATATTTTTAATTGATAGTTATTGAGCTCTACATTTTTCTCTGTTCCCCTCCCTGCTTCTCCCCTCCCCCCTTCAACCCTCCCCCAAGGCCCCCATGCTCACAATTTACTCAGGAGATCTTGTCTTTTTATACTTTCTACTTCCCATGTAGATTATATCGATATAAGTCTCTCTTAGTGTCCGCATTGTTGTCGAAGTTCTCTGGGATTGTGGTTTGTAGACTGGCTTTTTTTGCTTTATGTTTAAAAACCACCTATGAGTGAGTACATGTGATAATTATCTTTCTGTGTCTGGGTTACCTCACTCAAAATAATGTTTTCTAGTTCCATTCATTTTCTTGCAAAATTCAAGCTGTCGTTATTTTTTTCTGCTGTGTAGTACTCCATTGTGTAAATGTACCACATTTTTCTAATCCATTCTTCGATTGAGGGGCATTTAGGTTTCCAGGTTCTGGCTATGACAAACAAAGCTACTATGAACATAGTTGAGCACGTATCCTTGTTGCACGATTGAGCATCCTTTGGATATATACCCCAAAGTGGTATTATTAGGTCTTAAATGTATTTTCATTTATGTTTTTTACATTTTTTTCTAGGGCTTTGTGAAGGATGTCCATGAAGACTCTGTCACCATCTTCTTTGAAAACAAGTAAGACCTTAGGAATAGACAAGCATAGTAGGTTCTGAAGGGACAGCAGAAAAGTGGGACCTGCTGAGACCTGCAGTAGGTGGCAGGGAACTGAGAGTTTGGATGAGAATTCCAGGAAAGAAAAGGGCAGATAGCTTGGTGCAAGTTGTAGGCATTTGACACTTAGTAGTAAAGAATAAAAGACCACTGTAGAACAGAGCCTGTTGTTTTGACTCTTTAACTACCAGAAAGGATAAAGTGGTCTTAGCCAGGGAGGAACTTCCTTGTGAAGAAGTGGACAATTACATCAATCTGAATAGCTTTCCTGTCACTGTCTTGTAGCTGGCAAAGTGAGAGACAGATTCCTTTTGGAGATGTCCGACTACCACCTCCAGCTGATTATAATAAGGAGATCACAGAAGGAGATGAAGTCGAGGTAAGGCCTGTGAAGTCCATCATCTCAGTTTGCTCTTTTTTCCCTTAGGGTTCTGTTGTTTTGCGTTTTCTTTTTTTTTTTTTTTTAAATATTTATTTATTAATTATGTATACAATGTTCTGTGTGTGTGCCTGAAGGTCAGAAGAGGGCACCAGACCTCATTACAGATGGTTGTGAGCCACCATGTGGTTGCTGGGAATTGAACTCAGGACCTTTGGAAGAGCAGGCAATGCTCTTAACCACTGAGCCATCTCTCCAGCCCCTGTTTTGCGTTTTCAAGACAAGGTTTCTCTGGTTGTTCTGGAACTTGTTTTGTAGACCAGGTAGTCTCAAATTCACAGATACACCTGCTTCTGCCTTCTGAGAGCTGGGATCAAAGGTGTGTATCACCGTAGCCCAGCTGGATTCTGGGTTTTTAACTTGCTGATTTTGTTCCTTCCTCATCTGAACCACTACATCTAGCCATGTAGCTGGTGAAGTAAATGCATTGGTGCCTTTCTGTCATGGGTGTGATCTGAGGGTGCACCAGATTAAAGGGGCCACTCTTCCATGTGTGACAAATCCACTTGAAGTCTGTGTGTGTGTGTGTGTGTGTGTGTGTGTGAGAGAGAGAGAGAGAGAGAGAGAGACGGAGGGAGAGAGACAGACAGACAGACAGACAGACTTGGGACTTAACCCAGGACCTTGGGCATATTTTGCGGGAGATACATGTATGCACATGCGTCTGTGTGCATACATGATTGTAGGCATGAGTGTGTCATGGCTCACAAGTAGGGGTTGGGACAGCCATGAGCTCTGGGACTTGAACTTGGGTTATCAGGCTTGAAGAGCTCTTGTCCGCTGTGCAAGTTCAGCTTTCTCCAGTTCTTTTGTTTCTGGTGTTTTTTTTTTCTTTTTTCTTTTTTTTTTTTTAAAGAGGGGGGCGTTCCTCTATGTGTCTTTGGTGTCCTGGAACTGACTCTGCAGACCAGGCCGGGCCTCAAACTCAAAGCTCTGCCTGCCCCTGCCTCCCAAATGCTGGAATAAAGGTGTATACCACCAGCTGGCTTTCTCTAATTTGATGTTTTTGAATAGTCTTCACTTCAATACTGTGTCTCTTTATTTCTAACTTTCCAGGTTTATTCGAGAGCCAACGAACAGGAACCTTGTGGTTGGTGGCTGGCCCGGGTTCGGATGATGAAGGGAGATGTGAGTGACTAAAGTCCTTTGGGGAACTCCTGAAGCTGTTGTTCTATGGAAAGGTAGCAGATGGATTACACTTCCTTCTTCTTTTCTGCCAGTTCTATGTCATTGAGTATGCTGCCTGTGATGCTACCTACAATGAGATTGTCACCCTGGAACGACTTCGACCTGTTAATCCCAATCCCCTTGCAACCAAAGGCAGCTTCTTCAAGGTTACCATGGCTGTGCCTGAAGATCTCAGAGAGGCGTGAGTGTTGGAGAGGTTGGGAATTGAGGACTCTATAGTGCCAGCCTCTGTCCTTATTTTTCCCTGGTCTCCCACTCTGTTCTGTTTATCTGTCTGTTCTGTTTATCCCCTGGCCCTGTGAGGATCTTTTTCCATGATATACCTACAGCCTTTCCATTTTTCATCTTTATCTCTCTTTCTGTCTGTCTGTCTTTATTTTGAGACAGGGCCTCATCATACAAGCTCTGGCTGTCCTGAAACTCTATGTAAACCAATCTGGTCTTGAAGTCACATAGATCCACCTGCCTCTGCCTCCCTGAGTCCTGGGATTAAAGATGTGCACCAATATACTCTGCTCTGATTATTTTTAAAAATAGTTTTCTTAATCCTTATTATTTAACATTGGTACTATCCTAACCTGGTTCTACAAAGTGAGTTACTGGATAGCCAGAGCTGTTATACAGAGAGATCCGGTCTCAAAAAAGCAAACAAAAAATAACAACAACAAAAAAAGTGATTCTGTTTCTTATTTTCTCCTCCCTACTTTTTGTCCCCAAACCTCTTACTGCTCCATCCTGAACACTTTACTGTTCTCTGCAGCTGCTCCAATGAAAATGTCCATAAAGAGTTCAAGAAAGCACTGGGAGCCAATTGCATCTTTCTCAACATTGCAAACAGTGAGCTCTTTATTCTGGTGAGTTTTCATGTTAAATTAACATAGGTCTTTTCAACAGATTTTCCTTTTTCCTCTTTAAGTTTTTGCAGAAATGGGTGTGTTAGACTGTGCTCATACTTACTGGTGACTTTGTTACTTCTGACCCTCTGAACCCAGGTCACCTGCCTTTCCTTATTTTTCCTCATGTATGGCCTTAATTTCCCCCTCATTTTTTTTTTTCAGTGTGGGAGATAAAATCATGTTCTTCATACACCTGTCTGTTTCAGACAAGTACCCTAGTTCTTGGATATATTAGGATCTGTGTGTGTGTACATATTTGCGTGTATATAAGTGCACACTTTGGGGGTGGTTGAGAAAGCCTGAATTGTTGGTATCAGGTATCTTTCTCAATCAACTTCACTTTACAAGGCAGTCTTTGAACCCAGAGCTAACCAGTCAGTCAGCCAGTCCTCCTGGGTGTTCCTGTTCCTACCTTCTCTATGTCAGGACCCCTGACACCCTCTCTGGTCTTTGCATCTTTGTGCACATAACATATTCACATAGTGAGAGACACATATAAGTCTTTTATCTTTTGTTGTTTTTTGAGATGATCTCATTTTGACTGCCCTGGAACTCACTATGTAAACCTCAAATTCACAGAGATCTACCTGCTGCATCCACCACTATCTTCAGCTATAAATCTTTACAAAGGATAAAACAACAACAACAACAAAAAAACCACCGTATAGCTCTCACCTTGTACTTGCTTCTTGTCAGATGAGTTCTGTTAGTGTTTAGCTATCCAGCCCCTGTGTGAGTGACAGTGATTTTCCTGTATCCTACCTCATTTCCTTTTTCTTCCTTTGAGACAAGGTCTTACTGTGTCTCCTGGATGACCTGGTACTCACTGTGTTGCTGCAGCACTTGGGTTTGTGACACTTGGGTTTGTGACAGCTTTCATCCCCATTCCCCC